TTTCTTTCTTTCTTTCTTTCTTTCTTTCTTTCTTTCTTTCTTTCTAGCCATGTTTCATTCTTTCTTAAGCTCCTCTGTTTCCAGTCTAACTAGAAAGTGCATGCATATTTCTTTCTGTCTTCTTTCCATTTTCTTTCTATTTCCCAACAATTCTCTGCAAATCTGTCTGGGCAGACTTCTTGTACCTCCAGGAAAATTCTAGGCCCTCAAACCATTGTTTCATTTCTGCTTTCTATACGCCAAATCTTTTCCTCAAACGTGCTCCTCCTTTTTTCATAGACTTAATTATTGTTTTCTTGCTTCTCATTGCCTTTTTCTCTTCTAGTTGCCACATCTTTGCCCCATATAATTTCTTAAGGCCTATTTCATTATTCTCTATAGTTTTATGATTGTGAGCATCCCTGTGTGCTTTCATTAAAAAGTCTTTCTCTAGAAAGAAGGAAAGAAAGGGTGTAACTCTTGGGGAGGGGATTGTTTACCACATCCCCAATAACACCCAGGGATCTTCACGGGTGTTGACTCAACAACACCCACGTGCATTTTAAAGGTATTGACCTAACTCTGGCTGATCTTGGGGCTTTCTTCAGGTCTTCTAGTGGGTGAGATAAATATTAAGCCACAGAAAAATGCATGCTTCTTTGCCACTTACCTTGATTCCTGGGCATGTAGATAGGCACTCTGGGCAGCCCACCAGAGGCTCACAAGTGTCTGCCCTCTGGGTTATTCATACCTGCAAAGGGAGGGAGGGGGGCATGTGAAGGCTTTCTTCTCTCCCTCACTTCCTGAGTACACTTGGATGCTGGTTCCAGGCAACAGTGACCTGGCTCTGAGATGGCCAGGAAGGATGAGGAAGAGTCAAGGGCTCCTTGATAATCCACTGTGACCCTTTTACTTTACTCAATGTGTTATGTGGCTGCATTGTGACCATTGTTCCCCCGCTCCATCCCCTGACCTGTCTCATCCCTGTGCGGGGGTCCCTGTTCCTCCAGAAAGCCCCTATGGGGCCTGGCTTTGCTTAATGACTTCCCCAGTTCCTCATCTCCTTCTAGGACAGGCCCCTCAGTAGGAGGTCCATTGTAATCACTTTCTTTTTGCTTTCATTACCTGTGCTCCTCCTTGGTGGGGGCCATAGTCTAAACAAGGGAACTCGCCTTCCATTGAGGAGAAATTGCCCCAGTGGACACAGTCTGACCTCTTTCTCCCCTTCATTGTGTAATAATTATTGAGCTATCACTACCATAAAAAGCCATGGTACCAGAAGGCTTGCAGGGAGGAGACCATGGTACCAGAAGGACTGCAGGGAGGAGAGTTGAGATGATGGGAGTCCTTGAAGGAGCCAAATAAATAGTGTCCTCTCCTTCCCACCCAAGGTATGAACTGATTGAGAAGTAAGACAAAGGAGATGATGCACTAAAGCACAGTATTACTGTATTTTCTCAACACTGGAGAATATGGCTTTTATCTGTAGAAAAATGGGGTTCTTAATAACAGTGCCAGAATTAGACAGGAGACCACAAGGCCACTTTTTGAGGGCAGTTTGTTCCCAAAAGGAAAGGAGAGGAAGAGGCAGAGTGCTCAATTCCTGGGTCAGAGTAAGGCTGGAGACATGCCATGTGTATCGTAGCAGGGGGAGCCCCCTGCTTGAGAAAGAAGCATTGGGGTGGGATCTTGTTGCCCTGGCTGTTGTGGACTGCTTGACCTTGAACGCTTGTTAGCCAGGGGAGGAGAAGAGTGAGGCGGCTTCAGGTGTCTGTAGCATTGTTATTGCAGTATTATTGTATGCTCGTACATATAACGGTGGGAGGGCATTTTGGGGTGGAGGCTGTGTTGTTCACTGTGCTGCTGAAGTCTGGGTAAAGTAACTTTAGACTTTGGATAGGTGAGCAGCTAGGCGGGCATTGATCAAGGTTGCCAGGGGTTATTCTGTAGAGGTGGCTTATCAGGAGGGGGGTCCATCCTCCTCTGCTTTCCATGGGCTTGCTTTCCAAACCTCAGCTGAAGAGCAGAACCATTCTTCAGCCAAGGTTACATGTGGGAGTTTCCTACATCGCTGTGATTGCCTGTGTGCTGTTCCAATCCTGAGGGTACGGTTTCTGAATTCTTAACTAACAGAGATCCAAGGGTTATCCATCACCGTTGGCACGCTTTTGTATTCCACATTACCAGAGCTACAAGAATATTTCTATCTTCTCTCCTACGTGGTATTTTTAATCAGTGGGATGTCATTGGGTACTATACTTTGCCTTCAACACCTGCACCAGGGCAGGACACCATGGACAGCGCCACAAAGACTGCTCTCAGCCAAAGACTTGGTGGTTCCCACCCCGCCTTGCACACTAGACTTTGTGTGCATGAGGAAGGAACTTTTCTCTCTTTTCAGACTGCTGTGTCCCTTGCAGGCAGAACAGCCTGTGGCATATGAAAGGTCCTTAAAAATTATGTGCTGAATGAATTAACTGGCTGTATTCTGAGTGCAAGCTCTTGTGTTCCAGTTGAGTATTATCTCCAAATGTTAAACACCATTGAATTGTAGAGCAGAAGACTTTAAAAGATTTTAATTAAAGTGTTCCTGGAGTAGAACAGCTGAGAATGTTTATTATGTGTGGATTTTAATTTTTCTACATTCCAGGTGCACCTATATTGGCATTTCAGTGATAAAAACAATTTAATTATATATACCAAAAGCTTTTTAAAAAACTTTGCATGGTGATACCAGGAAAGCACTGAACTTGCCAATAATCTATTAGATGCTGCAGTGTGGCTCAGAGTCAGGTGCTAGATGAAACTTTTGTGTGTGTGTGTGAATTCAGCTATTGAGCTGAATATAAACAAAATACATTTGTGTATTCAGCCTTTGAGTAGGACATTCTCCATAGGCTCCATGAAGATTTTGCCACATGATTCTCACTAACGTGTGTCTATACTATCTCTGCCATGGAGATCATAGGCAAATGCTGTTTACAAGCTCTCCTCAAAGTTTATAGAATTGCTGATACTACATGGTTATTCATTATAATATTGAAACTATTTGTTAGAACTTTGTGGAAAAAGAAATCTTTGTGGAAAAACATAATAATATCAGAAAATAAAGTCAGTTCTTTTGAAAGGCAGTTCCTATTATCTTTCCATTTTGAGAAATTATTCTCAGTTGAATTGTATTACCATGGTGATGTGTTTGCATTTCAACAAAACCAAACCAGACTGTAAAGTAGAGCTCTGCACGTCTAGCTCCTGTCCTAGGACTTTTATTGCAGTATCCTTATTATTAAATAAAATCTCCTATGTTCTGTCTAAAAATCACAACAAAGAAGCAATTTCCTCGGCCAGACACAACAATCTGGATTGCTGATCTCAGAATTCGAAGAAATCACATAAAAGTGAAAAGGAGAACAGGCATTAGAGAGGTAAAAGTCAAATAAAGGACTCACCCACAAATGAATAGAAATATATACTTGTTCTCTAAAATAAGACTGCAGAAGTAAGCCAACACAGGAAGGGCGTTTTGCTTAATGAGAGTTGGACGTGTGGCTTAGTCCCCTGAGGTCTGAAACAAGTAAACCCTTTCAGGATTGTCAGCACATACCTCCCTGTCTCAAAGGAGAGCTCTTAGAGCTGGCTCTCCTGCTCTCTGTTTGTGAAGTTTGTTTTACTCTTTGGAATAATTGCACACGTAATTCTGACAACTAAATGCAAAGTCTACAGGAGGTAGGTTTTGAGTTCTTCGAAAATTCCTGCAGTTCGTGCCAATGGGAGGCAGGAAATCGTTTCGCATGATGCTATTTGCATAAGAAGGAAAGAACACATCATTTATTCTAATCAACAAAGTGTGAAAACAAGATCTGGACAGATGTGCACAACCATCCTATCACTCCTGCCCAAATATTGTATCAGTCCATCTTGTCCCAGATCACAATTTTGTTTGCCCAAGAATACATTAGCTCAGTCAGATCTGGGTTCTCACAAAGCTTTTTGCTAGCTGCTGGGCTTACTGGTAAATAAGCAGTGTGGTTTTGCTTAGCAACCCCTCCGTGGAAACACAGCACGCTTTGTAAGCGGTGGGGAGGTGGGGAGGCGGCTGGCTCGGGAAGCAAGGTATGTGCCTCTCAGGGTCTCTGCAGCTGGTCTCTGACATCGCAAACATTATCTTCAATCCTTAGTCTTGCAAGGCTGATGAAGAACTAGGGGGAAATTAATTGGAAGGCAAATATAAAGTGTTCAAGATTGTGAGCTGAGACTGTGTGAGAACTCAACCCAGAGTCAACACAGAAGAACCAAGAGAGAATGAGGACCTTTTTTCTCATTAAAAATGAGGTAATTATAGGAGATAATGTATCCAGGAAGCCCACAATGACTTCCTGAAGCTAAACAAAGATTATCTTAAGCCAGACATGAGGGAACATTCCTCAGTAGCTAAGGGCAGCATTAAATCTGGGACTGTCCACATCTAAGAAAAGATTTGAACTTGTACATCCAAGATAATCATTAACAGTCACTGAGCACTTAGCAGGCAGTGTGATCAGCTTTTGCACACTCATTTAATTTTCCAAACAATCCTGTGAGGTGGGTTCTTTTACGTCCATTTTATAAAGGAAGAAACTGATGTGTAGAAAGATTGACAAACTTGCTTGAGGTCACCCAGGTATATAGCAGTGGGGATGGGAGGTGTGCCAGGCAGTCTGCTCTTAGACCCCGAGTTCCTATCCACCGTTTTACAAGTGGTAGGGTGCAGTTACAGGGCTAATGGGGATTCAAAGTCCAAAGATCACTGGATGAGGTGTAAGGTAGTTTGTGGTTCCATCTTGAAAGCTGTGAAGCGTCCAATTAAGGCAACTGTTTTGTTTCATTTTAATGTCTGGAGGGCAGCAAAGGCATGGATATCCAGAGTAACATATATTGCTAAAACCTTACGTCCACACCTTGTCCTTTTTTTAAAAAAGGTTTTTTAATGTTTTTACTTTTGAGAGAGACAGAGACAGAATGCGAGTGGGTTAGGGGCAGAGAGAGAGGGAGACACAGAATATGAAGCAGGCTCCAGCCTCTGAGCTGTCAGCACAGAGCCTGATGTGGGGCTCGAACTCCCCAACTGTGAGATCATGACCTGAGCCAAAGTTGGGACGCTTAACTGACTGAGCCACCCAGTCGCCTCCACACCTCTTTCTAAAGTGAAGTATGGGTAGACAGCTTTTCATACACACACATGCGAGACACTTGACTTATGTCCCTAAAATACCCCAATGATTGACTTCTCCACGCATTCACTGAGCATCACTGTAGGATGTCTGGAAGCAGCAGCCCAGGAACACACGTGCTGGCTTGGGCAGTGAGCAGTGGTGAAATGTTTACCTTGCTGATAAACTCTCCAACAGATAATACATTTAAGACACCACTATTTAGCCTTTGTTACATACCTCCCTCTTTGCCACGAAACGAATCCTGTCCTGTGCCATCGTCCCTTCTGCCCACCTCTGAGAGCTGGGGAATGTCCCCCAGCTTTCACATACGTGCAGTCCTCCTTTGCCAACCTCAGCCTCATGTGGGTCGCAGTTGTGTCCCCAACCCTAATTTATGACTTCACAAGTGTCTCACAAACATTTAGTTCACTTTACTTTTATTATGCGTTTGTGGAGGACAATTTATGGTGTGTGTGGCGGGGGGTGGGGGGGTGGGGGAATGGTGTGTCCATTGCCAGCAATTAGATGAATTTAATGATTGATGGCGAAATCTCCTTTCGGGCTTTGGATTTTTATATATATCTATAAACAAAACTAGGCCAGTGATACATAAGTTCCTGGATTCTCAGAGGGACTCAACTGCCCTCACCCAGTCCTGCTATCATATCCAGTCTGGAAGTTTATGAAATGGGGAAGACATTCCCGTGGTTCTCAAGTGATTTATCTGGTCACAATACTTCTGTGCAAAAATACTTGGAATTTTCATTTGCGGTTTCAACAATATCAGTAAATTATCACTTTTTTTTTCCAGATGGCTTTTCTGAGGAGATGAGGAGGGGACCATGTAAGAGCATGGATCAAATAATTTTTCCCTGTTCCCACTTTATACACTGAGTGCCCTCTTGGGAGTTAGAGCACATGACTACTTTTCATAAGGAAGGATTGTATTTCTTTGGGTCTTCTTGTGTGTTTTTAGGCAATATACTGATCCCAGAACTGGAGTGGAAATCGTGCTTAGATTTGTGCCAAAATATGTTCTCCACTGTAACTGCTCTTACTGACTGCCCTGTGTCCTCCATTTTGCCGTGTTGAGCATACCTGGGACTGGGACCCCAGTCAGGTGGGGCTGAATGTTTCTGAGGCATGATTAGAGCGGACAGCAGCCTTTCCTCCTTTCAGCTTCCTCATCCCTGAAAATTTCCAGTGAACAAGCAACACCATCCTTTCTCCCTCAATTGGGGAGGAGGGGATGGAAGGAGGGGAAACCTAGTCATCTTCTTGACTGGCATTTCCATGGTTGACCCAAGTGGCTCATCTTAGAAGACACAATTGACTCTCTCTGTTCTGGGAAGATGTCACAGAGGTGTCACTGCTTATTACTGAAGGCTAGGAATTCCCGGACAGATCGCATAGTAACACTTTTTTATTCTCAGTCTTCCTTTCTAGAAGGGAAGCAGGATGGCCTGTTCTTCATGGGGGTTAGTCTGGTTGATTTTGTTATGAGGGGGTAGGTTGGAGGGGCGGGGTGGGGGGGACTCTGGCAACTTTGTTTGAGCTGGGAAATTGTTGAGTAACTTGAAGTCTGGTTCCATCAGTAGGCACTGGACTGGGAGTTAATCACATCAGAAGTCTAATCTTGGCTTTGCCTCTAATTAGCAAAATCATTTTGTGCTGGTCCCTCAACCCCTCCTGGCTTCTGGTTTTGCGTCTATAAAATGAGGTGTATGAATGCAAAGGTCTCTCTGGGCTCTGAGGTTCTCTGCCTTCTAATTCACCAGAAGGCAATGAATAGGAAACAGAACACATGGTAAGGATTTCCTAGATCCAGTGCCCCACATGTGGTGTATTTTTGCAGAACATCAATCTAGGTGGTGTAGAAAGGCCCATTCATTCTGGTATTACATGGTTTTGGTTGGGTTATAGTGCTAGGGCCCCCTGATGACAATTGACATGCCAGTCCTGGGAGCTTTGAGAAGACCTTAAAGATTATTTAGTCCAGAGGCAATGCCAGTGTTGTCTTGAGTGCATTCAAAGGGAATACCAATGATGCTTCCAGTCTACCTCTGGACTCTGTTGGCACTGTTTCTTTGAGTGACGTCAGTCTAGTACCCAATCTAAATGCTCTCACCTCCTGCTGGCTCCTTGAGAAGCTGATCTGAAATGAAGCTCCTGTCATTTTCGACAGTGACCCCATCATTCTGGCTTAGACTTTTGTCCGTCTTTGGTGGATAATACTGCCTAAACACGCCGTAGCGCTAGCTCAAACACATGTGTTTTGAAAGAAAAGTATGTTATAAACGTACCACTTCAGCAGGGAAGGAGGGTGAAGAAGCTGGAGTCTGTCTCAAATGAGTATGGGGGTGGCTGTGTTTTCCTTGTCCTCTGAACATTTTAGTCTGTCTCAGGCCAGCTGTTTTTGTTTTTGTTTTTTTCCCCAACACGTTCCCTTTGATACAAGGGAAACTAGGCGCCAAGTCCATCACTGCCACTGTGGAAAGAGCTCCAAACCTGTGCCCTCCTAAAGGAGGGTCGATAATACGTGAGAAATGGCAGCAACCCCTTCTGGGGAATAATTATATTCGCACCAGTGAGGAAGTTAGAATCAGCATTTGGAACCACTTGAAGGACATTCAAGGCATGACCTAAGCAGGGTTTCTTGACCCACGGTCCATGGTTTCTTGACCCGGGGTCCATGAACAGCCTTCCTGGGGTCCAAGAGCCACCTATAGAGCATCTGAAAACTTCTGTCCGTGCATTTTTCTAGGAGAGGGTCCACAGCCTTCCTTCCTCTGGTTCTCCCAAAGTTGCCCATGACTGAAGAAAGGTGAAAAGCCACTGACATAATACATTTTTTTCTGTGCCTCTCTGTCCTCTGAATCCAGGGTGATAAAGCTGACCTATCTTTCTGCTTTGCTGTTCCCAGAAAAAGCAAGTGAGCCAGACCAAGATCCGGGTCATCTCAACCATCCTGTTCATCTTGGCCGGCTGTATTGTATTTGTGACGATCCCTGCTGTCATTTTCAAATATATCGAGGGGTGGACAGCCTTGGAGTCCATTTACTTTGTGGTGGTCACTCTCACCACAGTAGGCTTTGGTGATTTTGTGGCAGGTAAGCTCCCTGGGCATCCCAGTCACCAGGGCCCCCAGCGGGGAGAATATTCTGTTGACAGTGCTTTTTACAACCACCAGGGGGCGCCTGGGTGGCTCATTGGTTAAGTGTCTGACTTCCGGCTCAGGTCTCCCGCTCACAGTTGGGGAGTTTGAGCCCCGTGCCTGGCTCTGTGCTGACAGTGCAGAGCCTGGTGCCCGCTTCTAGATCTGTGTCTGCCTCTCTCTCTGCCCCTCCCCCGCCCCCCCCCCCCCCACTCAACAACAAATAAACACTAAAAAAATTTTTTTAACCACCAGAAAAAACGTTATGGGAGAAGCAAATGGAAACATCTCAATGTCACTGCTGCTGTGCATGGACTCATTTCAAGCCCGTGGTCCCATGTAATATAAAAAGCCGCAGATTCTGCTGTGAAAAGAAAGCCGGCCCCTTCTTCCCCAGGATGTTCATTGCCCTTATCATCGTATGAATTATGCATGAGTGAAATGAATTTCTCATTGAATGTTAGACTTATGATTTGCATTAAAGCTCCTTGAATGAATTGATAAAGACTGTATTAGCAAGTGGCAAATAAGGAACTTTGGGGAGATTAGCATAGAGTTTAGCCTGCAGCCATCTGTGGGTTAGGCTTCCTGATGCTGCCCAGGGGAGGGCTGTGGTCCCCACAAAAGTTATCCTGGGCACAAAATTTAGGACTCAGCTGACTAGTAGAAGCCGAGACCCGTCCCAAGGGAGTAAAATTTAACGGATTCTGCATGAATGTATATTTTAGAAGCAATAGCCTTCATTGTGAAAGTCAATGCCAATGAACTATGTTTATAGAAGCAAAAGAAAACCACCATCAATTTCATCTGGGGACAGGGAATTTGAAAATGAAATGAGATCTGGCTTCTTACATGTATGGCTTTCCCAGAGTGTGGTAGGAAGGCAAAGAGAGAGAAACAGGCCATCCTTCTGTGTCCTAACATAATTCTAGGGGGTCGGGCAATGGATCGTTGCCTACTCCAAGAAGTGAACGCTTTGATTAAACAACTCTGTCCTAGGCTCAACACGTTTGAGTGGTGTGTGTGTGTGTGTGTGTGTGTTATTCACCAGTTCCCGGTTAGGCAGCTGCGTAGACATTTGCAGGCTGAGATCATGGGCCTCCCATCCTTTATTTGACACATGATCCTGGCAGCACCTTGGTTTCCTCACAGAGTATGGTGCTCGCCAGGATGACAGGGATCTGGGAATCCGGAAAGCAGGACATTCTGGAGGGGATACTGAAGTCTTTTCAAAAGGTGCCTGGGTGCCTCCACATTCATTCCAGGCTACTAGGGGTCTTCTAGCTGTTACAGCAGGGCAGATGAAGACTGCAGTCCAGTTTGTAAAAAATAGCAGTTTTTATATTTTTTTCTTCCTTTTTATTGCCTAAGGACAAAGCATTGCAAAGTCAAAGTGATTAAAAACTTTACAAACTTACAAAAGCCGGGGGTCTGGGTCCCCACCAGTCTTTCCTTATGCACAGTCACTGTGCGTCTCCTCGCCTTGGGTCAGGAGTCACTTCATGCCATCCGAGCAGAGGCCTGAAGCTCCGGAGAGAAACCACAGGGAACCCGTTGGGACGATTTCACAAACTTCTGTAAGTTCCCCCAGGGCATGGCTCGCACTGGTCTGTGCTTCCAGGTGCGCTCGGTGTTAGTCCTGGGCTGTCTGCTGGACTGTCTGTTATAGGACACCTGTGACGAACCTTCTCTCTAAACACCTGCTCGACTCAGCCTGTTAATCTGCTAATCTGGGGCACAAATAGCAGAGCCTTGGAATATAAAATTTAAAAATGTATTTACTTAGTGATGAGCAAAGTTTTAATTTGAATTTAGGTTATCCGTTTATTTGTTTGAAGTTTATTTTGAGACAGGGAGAGAGAGAGAGAGAGAGAGAGAGAGAGAGGGAGAGAGAGAGAGGGAGAGAGAGAGAGAACCCCAAGCAGTCTCCGCACTGTCAGTGAGGAGCCCGACGAGGGGCTTGAACTCATGAACTGTGAGATTATGACCTGAGCAGAAATCAGGAGTCAGACACTTAACCGTTAGAGCCACTCAGGCAACCCCCAGGTTATCTGTTTACATATAATTAATTATACAATGCAAGAAAATGCAGGGAAGCCTGACATTAAAAAAGAAGATGACATTGACAATAACGTAATTGAATATCTTACATTTTACTGTTATAAGTTGTGATCTTGTAAAACCAAAACTATTATAATCTATTCACATTAGAGTCAATGTATAAATACCTACTATCTACTTTTGTTAATATTATTGAATCAAGGCTTTCATGTTAATTGAAAGGTGAATATGAATCTGTAAAGTAATATGAATTCCATTTTACAAAACAGCACTGATTGACCGAAAAATAAAAAAGAAAATGAAATAAATGAGCCCCAGATTTAACGCACATGAATGTTCTCGGTTGGCCGGTGTGATGGGACTTTATTTAGAGCCTTGCTGCTTCAGTAAAAATGTCAGAAAGAGGTAGCTTTGATTTATTTAGATCCTAGATGAATACAGTTGGCCAACCTAAATGATTTTGCATATGTTGGTTCTAAGTAAAAAAGTTAAAGATAACCCAGGAAAGAAAATGTGTGACTTGTTTAACATTATGATGTGTATATGGGTCCCTGCTCTTCATTGTGGATGGGAGAGAAGAAAGGTCATGCATGTTCTTTACCTTCTAACCCACAGTGACCGCCCTTATTAGGGAACACTGCCCAGCTGGTGTCTTTCCTCCCTGGAAGGAAGGGGAGGGAGGGGAGGAGCAAGGACAAAATGAGAGGGGCCTCTGGTGCTTCAAGGGGTCCTGCCACTGATTTTGATTTATTATTTCTTATTACCCACCACGGATTGAGAGCACTTAGCACATACCGGCACTTGACTTTATCTTTACTTACCTCGCAAGGGCATGACCCCCACAGTCACAGGCCTGGCGCTGGTTTAATTCCCTTGTTTACTGTTGATTACAAAGCCTTATTTCTTTTGTTCTGAGGTCTCCACGGACAGGGTGTCTCTTATAATTCACATTGCTGACTGCGAGCGGACCAGGCCTTCCTAAATTTGGGTTTCCAGAACTTCTGTAGATTGTGGTCCAAAGATGCATGCCTTTAAGGCATGAAATTTGTCACAAGCTTAGCAACAGGGAACGAGGCCCGACCATTTCAAAAAGGTGCATCAGCAAGAGTTGATAGTTGCTCTGAGTCAGCATCACTTCTAGAAATATAATCGGAACGTTGGTCATCATGCAGGATTAAATGCTGGCTTATTTTTATAGCCGACTTCCTTTGGGACAGCCTAACAACTTCGGAGCATTTCGAAACCCTCAATGGGAGCGCACACACGGAGCTCTGAATTCCAGACAAGCGGTTGAGAAAGGAATCCACCAAAGGGTGCCTTTTGTGTTGTTTGCTAGCGCACCCTAGTGGCAGTCTTTGGCGGGCGGTGGTGATTTGCTGAGGTCAATATTTACCGTCGGCAAGCCCCTCCTCCCCCCGCCCCAGGCTCTGAGGACCGAGCTGCACGGTTCTCCCGCCCAGCGCGGAAAAGAACCTCAGAAACCACTTACTGTTGCAGGAACCCTAGAGAAAGCTATGGGGGAGGGGGGGGGGGGCGTTGCCTAAAAGGAAAAACAAAAAAAAAAAACAACAAAAAAAAAACAAAGGCAGCTGAACCAGACCGAAGTGTGGTTGCCCCAGAGCCCGTTAGCGATGTTTGGAATTCTCATGTTAAGAAATGGCAGTGGCGGGGCGCCTGGGTGGCGCAGTCGGCTAAGCGTCCGACTTCAGCCAGGTCACGATCTCGCGGTCCGTGAGTTCGAGCCCCGCGTCAGGCTCTGGGCTGATGGCTCGGAGCCTGGAGCCTGTTTCCGATTCTGTGTCTCCCTCTCTCTCTGCCCCTCCCCCGTTCATGCTCTGTCTCTCTCTGTCCCAAAAATAAATAAACGTTGAAAAAAAAATTAAAAAAAAAAAAAAGAAATGGCAGTGGCTGTGGAGATCTTGAGCCCTTGTGGGCTGCCCTGCACCCTGGGTTCGGTCCCACTGACAGGAGCCACAGGCCACAGGGCCTGCCCACGTGCCTTTGGGAGGTATTACTGAGACCATAAGAGCTCAGACTGGATTCCGTGGGGCTCGATGAGGTTGCAACCACCACTCAGTGGGAAAGACTAGTAATCACTCCTCGTGTAACACCTTAATTACCCATACATTGCTAATGTTCAGTTGCCTTAGAAATGGCCGCCTGGGGGCTCTCGGGCGGCTCAGTCGGTTAAGCGTCCGACTTCAGCTCAGGTCATGATCTCTCAGTTTGTGAGTTCGAGCCCGCGCGTCGGGCTCTGTGCTGACAGCTCGGAGCCTACAGCCTGCTTCAGACTCTGTGCCTCCCTCTCTCTCTGCCCCTCCCCTGCTCACACTCTGTCTCTCTCTCTTCCTTAAAAATAAATATTAAGGAAAAAAAAAGTTTAGAAATGGCCGCCTGCCTGCCTCACTGGGCAACAATGTGTCACAGGGTGAGAGGCAGGCTGATAGCAGCCATGTCATGGAACTTCTTCACTTCTTCAGGAGACAGCGCTGAGGTTGGAGCCTATTTTACACGGCTACTTTTGGTAGGGCCTGTAGGAGGGTGAGAAGAAACAGGCTAATTATTTGCAATAAATGACTGGTCCTTTCAACGGAACAGCCAGTCAATGCCATCAGGCAGCTGGCCGATTTGGTTTGATAGATTTCTACCGTAATCCCTACATATAAAATAAAGGGATTGGACTCGCTGGCCTTTTAGCTCGAGCACGGTGATTCTAATTACTCAGACTGATTGACCTTTTGGATTAGCATCGTGTAAACACCATCCCTCAGTTAGTGTGAAATCACTACTGTGAGGATCAAAGTCTCAAGGATGCCATTAAGTCTAATTTTACTTCCTCACATCCACTCTGCTCTTAGTAAATGCGTGTGTTAAGGGGGAAATGGTTCCAAGCCATTTGGGATGATTGATCCTTCATTTTTATTACATTAAAAAAATTTTTTTTTAAGTGTTTATCTATTGTTGAGAGAGAGACAGAGTGTGAGCAGGGGAGGGGCAGAGAGAGAGGGAGACACAGGATCCGAAGCACGTTCCAGGCTCCGAGCTGTCAGCACAGAGCCCTATGCGGGGCTGGAACTCATGAACCTCAAGATCAAGACCTGAGCCGAAGTCGGGACGCTTAACCCGCTGAGCCACCCGGGCGTCCCTATTTTTATTACATTTAAAGGAGTTTATGAAAAAAAATTGATGGCTGGGCCTGAGCTGTTGTCCCTCTCGCTCATGTCTTTCATTGTCAAACCAAGGTTGAGAAGAAGTGGACCAAACTGGCCACTGACACGTTTCTGTTGTTGTTATTTATTTTGAGAGACAGAGTGTGTGCACATGAGCAGGCGAGGGATAGAGAGAGAGGGAGAGAGAGAATCCAGGCAGGCGGCAGGCTGTCAGTGTGGAGCCCAATGCAGGCTCCATCTCACAGACTGTGAGACCATGACCTGAGCTGAAACCAAGAGTCGGACGCTTAGCCAACTGAGCCACCCAGGTGTCCCTGAAAAGTTTTTGTTATGGGTGTTACTGTTAGTGGTCAAGAATCAAAGAAAGTTGGGGCGCCTGGGTGGCTCAGTCAGTTGAGCGTCTGATTCTTCATTTTGGCTCAGGTCATGTTTCCAGAGTGGTGGGATTGAGCCCTCTCAGTCTCTCTCTCCGCTCTCTGCCCTGCTCACACACGTCCTCTCTCTCCCTCTAAAATATATGTGTATGAAAGGAAATTAAGCCACAGGCCAGGCTCCTTTAGGGAAGGGACAAATCTTTTCCTTGCCTGTCACCTCTTGTATACAGCAGGCCTAACAGCTGCGTGTCAGATGGTGATGGGAAGACATCTCTGCCATGTGGACCAGAATATGTTTGTTCTGCAAAGACCATATGCTAGGCCCTGGTTAAAATAACGTTTGGTTGTTTTCAGGGGGAAACGCTGGGATCAATTACCGGGAGTGGTATAAGCCCCTAGTGTGGTTTTGGATCCTTGTTGGCCTTGCCTACTTTGCAGCCGTCCTCAGTATGATCGGAGATTGGCTACGGGTTCTATCCAAAAAGACAAAAGAAGAGGTAGGACTCCTTCCAAATTCTATGAACGTTCCTGAGATCAGATTAGCTCATGTCAAGAATTACCTGTCTCTCTTCTATGGGCACAAGGGCTTCTTAAATAAACGGAGGGCCCCTGTGGCTTCCTCTTTTTGAAGCATTCCCTAAAAGCCAAGGTCAACGGAATAGCAGTTATTTCTGGATCCCTTTTCGGCAGGTGAGAACATCTGGTGACTCACCGGGCCAGAGATCCGGGAAAGACTAGTAAACGATGACTGCTTTTTAAAAAATGAAAAGGGAAAAAGGAAAAAAAAAAAAAAACAAACAGCGATTGTCAGCAGGGGTAGGCTGTAGCTGAGGCTGGTGTGCAGACTGGAGGGAGAGGTTTAGAACGTTTTTAAAAAGCTTGAGAAAGATGGCCTGTCCTTCAGGTCTTGGGGTCTATATGGAAATGCAATAAAATACTATGAATCCTTCTTGGTTCCCTGAGACTGAAGTCCTTCAATAGTGGCCAGCCATGAGGAAGCAAACACAAGGGGTCCCTTTCACCATCATCCCCTCTCGGTTATCAGATCTATAGAAACAGACATACCCATGTGTCCAAGACACGCAGTCTTTACTCCCTCATGTAAATGTGCATGAAAACAAAGGCAAGAAAAGACATAAGAGGAGAAGGTAGATTCTGTGGTTAAAAACAATGTCCATGTAGTTCTTCTAGGAAGAGAGGAAAAGATAAAGGCAGGCAAGAGAAGAAAGGAGCTAAAGAATGGAAGGGAGATAAGAAAGAAACAGAGGAACAGCTTCTTTAAGGGCACCTGCTCACTTCCTAGAAGACAGACATTCTATACAGAAGGCCCCAGGAGAAAGTTACTGTGTGGGAATATTTCCTTTCCCATATCATTCCCGGGCCCAAGTGTTAAATTTTCCTGCCTTGCATAAACACTGTCAGTGTAGTCTTCAGTCCGATCCCCCAGAGAGCTAAGTGACCTGCTGAAAATGAGCCATAGTGAAAGTAACCACATCAATATTGACTTTCCTAAATGCAAAAATGCAAACTTCTGAGTTAGTTGCTCATCCGTGTAGAAAGGCATGGGACTACTAGTCTCGGTGCTGCTGAATGAGAGCCGAGAAATTTGGTATTGATCCTCCTGCAAAAACTTCACTCTGGAGGAAGAACGTTCTGTGGGCTTTTGCAGAACATGACCAGGAAAGTTTGGTCACCAGGTGCTCTGGAGGGTCTCCTTAAACCAGAGTAAGCTCGACAGCACACGACCGTGTGGCCCAGATACAGGGTGAGCGACGGTCCCCAGGTTGTCCAGGACTGCAGAACACAGGACTCTGTGTTTTACAACCGGGACAGTCCTAGTCTAACTGGGACAGGTGGATCACCCTTCCCAGACAGGAGCACTGGGGAACAGAGAAGGGCCAAGGACCCCCTGAACATCTATCTGCTTTGCACCCCCTGGGTGCTTTCCTCCTGGGAATGTCTCTCTCTGTCTCACATAACGCCAAGAGCTCCGTGAGCTAGACATGATTACCCCACTTATGTTGGAGGGATGAGGCCATACAACTAACAAAGGGGTGGGTGCGTAACAGGAACCCAAGCCTGTCTGCCTTCCAACAGTGATCTCTCCCGCAGAGAGCTCTGCCTCCCGTTCAGTCACCGCCTCCACATCTCAGGCTCCTGCCCGCGGCTTCTCTAGCAAGTGTAACTCCCTGATCCCCCCCTCCCTCCCCCTGGGCCTGTGCTCCCCCATCTCCCGGCCTCCCTTGAGCCAGCCTTCCCATCAGGACATCCAAGGGCTGTGGGCGCTGGGGGCGGGTGGGGGCTCGAGGCAGGCGGAGAGAGGACTTTCTCATCCTGTCGCTTTTCTGTCTCCCGGCCAGGTCGGTGAAATCAAGGCCCACGCGGCCGAGTGGAAGGCCAACGTGACGGCCGAGTTCCGGGAGACACGGCGGCGGCTCAGTGTGGAGATCCACGACAAGCTGCAGCGGGCGGCCACCATCCGCAGCATGGAGCGCCGGCGCCTGGGCCTGGACCAGAGGGCCCACTCGCTGGACATGCTGTCCCCCGAGAAGCGCTCCGTCTTCGCCGCCCTGGACACGGGCCGCTTCAAGGCCTCATCCCAGGAGAGCATCAACAACCGGCCCAACAACCTGCGCCTGAAGGGGTCGGAGCAGCTCAACAAACACGGGCAGGGCGCCTCGGAAGACAACATCATCAACAAGTTCGGGTCCACCTCCAAGCTCACCAAGAGGAAAAACAAGGACCTCAAAAAGACCTTGCCCGAGGACGTCCACAAAATCTACAAGACCTTCCGGAATTACTCCCTGGACGAAGAGAAGAAGGAGGAGGAGACGGAGAAGATGTGCAACTCGGACCACTCCAGCACGGCCATGCTGACTGAGTGCATCCAGCAGCAGGCCGGGATGGAGAACGGGCTGGTCCCCACGGACACCAGAGACCAGGAACTCGAGAACAACGCATTACTTGAAGAGAGAAACTAAATGCTGAGGACCTTGGACTTGACCAAGCGTCGTGTTTTTTATATTCACCCTGAGACACGTGCCTTAAACAGACTTCTCGTTAGTCCGAAATTACATAGCATCGAAGAATATATTTCACTGTGCCATAAACGACTGAGATGAGAAAGATCGCTCTGCCAAAAGGAGTCAAAGAACAAAGACTGCACTTCTGGTGGCGGCCGCAGGACACTGGGGGAGTGTTCGCACACGCAGGAGGTCGTGGCCGCAAATGTTAAGGGCGTGTCTGGGACGGTGCTTGCACCCCTGTGTGGTGCCACCCCGGCCCCAGCATGTAGAAAAGGGCAGCTATTCCTTAGACCAGCCTTCTGAAAGGAACAGATGTGTCTCCTAAGTGGAGTCTCATTTTCCGAACCTACTGTTAGAGATACGTGCACACACAGAAGGGGACCAGATGGGGGGTGAACGAGTACCTGCAGGGAGGGTCTGAGTTGGCATTTTGGCATGTTGCTCCGAGCTTGAGTTTTGATACAAACCCTTCAGGGCGCACCTACTCTTTCTAGGCTCCAAATGAGCGTCTGTGGGACCTGAGAGCACGTGGAATTTGTTGGCAACAGATCAGAGCACACGTATTCAAAGGTGCAATTGCTTTCCTCATTACAAAAGAAAAAAAAAAATCACAAATGCATCACACTGTGGAATACCACCTTAACCAATGACAGAAGCCTACTGAACTTTGTGTTTTTGACGAACGATGAAAAAAGTGAACCCGCGAGCATCGGCGGACACTCGGCCTCATCTGCTGCATGGTTACGGGCACAACATCATGCATTTTCCTCAGTGGGTGCAGTGGTGAAAATAAACTGGTTCTGAAACGTTCACGTTCACTTTTCTAGTGGAACTTCGGTTATAAGTCGTTTTGATAAGAGGGGGAAAAATACCAAAACAATTGCCTTGCATGATGCCAGTGGCTTGCTGTTCTGTCTAGCTGATCCTAATTTTTTTTTATAAAAATAGACATCCTGCATGTCTGAGACATACCAAGGAGGACCATGGCATCATTCCATCTCAGGGCTTTTTGTCCCTTTGGGTGTCTTAAGGTAGACATAGTGACGAGGTCCAGTCCTGCTATCTCCAAACGAAAGAAAGATTCCCCCAACAACTCTTGTACACGAAGATTGAATTGTTTTAAAATTGCCTGCAGCTTAAGTGCCATTAATGCCATTTACAAATAATGCTTAAAAGAAATATTTACAACATTCCACTTTTATGTTTGGGTGTTCCTTATTTTGAAAGCATCACTTCTTTTCCTTGCTTGTTTCTTTAGCCCACACTTGCTGCTCACGAAAGTTGGAACCCCAGTGTGATCGATCGTTTCAAGGCAAACAATAGCAACACCTGATAATTGATTGTTCCATGAGGTTGAAATTGTGAAGGAAAGTGGGGGAGTGGCTAGTCATAGGTTTTGAGAAGATTCTGAATTGATGATTTTTTTTTTTTTTTAATCAGAAAGGGCAAAATATGTGCTAGGCTCACCATCCTTACCCTTTTGCATAACTGGCTGGCCATTCACACTTAGCTACGTGGACCACACTCTGAAGCCTTTGGACTTGCACACCCAGGAGGTTGCAGGTTATGGTCCTCCCAGGCTCAGCACCGCCTGTTGGGGGTTTCACACAATTCACACACAGAGTGGATTTAATCAAGAGATCACAGGATTAGTGGAGACTTCCCAAAACCATCTAATGCTTTCTGACTTCTGGGGAAAATTATATCCGCCACATCCTTGACCACTGGTACCAGGGCAGACCTCTTCCTGCCCATCTCCCCAAAATGCCTGGACCACATGTAGCTCCCCTTCCCCCTGCCCCAAATTTTGGGCTCCAGCTAAAGTTCTGGCATTTCCTTTGGGAAGGAGCCAAAGCAGAATCACTTTCATGAGGCCCTTCCTGTCCAACGGTAGATTTGGTTTAATGCCTCCACTTGGCTGGAGCTGTGGCTCACTGGTGACATCCTGTGTCCACACATTAAGAGACACAGGAAACGATGCTTATGCAGGTGTGGGCGTTGGCTCTTACTGGGAGAGTCCTTCAAGCCTGCAAAATGTGTTTTCATTGGTGGATAACTGGGACTTTCTTATTCCAACAAGTTAAAACCTTCCTGATTAAACTATCGATCCACCCTGTATTACTTGTCACCTTCTTTACAGTAATGTGTTAAAAATTCTAGACCCTACAGACAAATCTGGCGAAGAGGCTTCCCTGTCATTTATCCAGTGGTTTCCGTGGGCCAGGCACTAGATTTAGGCACTTTATGGGCGTTAAATGCTCGCTGAAACCTCACAGGAACACTGTACTAGAAGTGGTTATAAACCCACTATACAGATGAGGACACAGGAGCTCAGGGAAGCTAAGTAATTTACCCAATGGCACACAGCAAGAAGGTGGTAGAGCTGGTATTCAAAGGCTGTCTGACCAAAGTCTGCTTTTGACTTTGCTATAGCGTCCATGTTATGCATTCTTTGTGTGTGTGTGTGTGTGTGTGTGTGTGCATGTGTGTCTTTCTAGTTTCATGGACATGGCATACAGAGGTGGGGAGAAGATCTCCGTTACCAAGAGGGCACAAGGTCTTTGCGGAAACATGACCTCGCGGGTTACCCTTGCAGTTACGTAAACATTATTTTGGTTTGGGTTTTGGGAAGGCTGTATGCGGCACACTTTCTGTATTGTTAAAACTGCCCTTTGAAAGCACTCTTTTGCACTTTACTTGCTTAGTTTGCAGGAACTCCGTATACAGCAGGAATAAAACAATTCAAAGCACTAAACTAAGCTGCACATTCTACCAAATGGAACAGGTGTTGGTGTGTGCTTCCCCAAATGAGTCAAATCACAGTAAATACAGAGGGATCCAAAACAGCCCTTGGCTGAGAGTGGGAAAATCTCCAATATAACCTGTTCCCTGAGTACAGGGGGGGACAAAGCCCCAAGGAATATAATCAAAGAAGAGCCCTCCCTCTGTGGAGATTGATCCATTAAATATGCAGTGTTGGACAAACTATAACATACTCTCCAAAGGAGATGCTGAGAGGGAATAAGAACTTGGACTCTGCTTAGTGTGTACAAGCTAAGATCTGGGGGGAGGCTAGTTGTGAAGCTGTTTGAATGTCACCCTTGTAAGATGGGGCCAAATAGCATGTAGCAAGACTGCTACAAATTCTAAACACATGTCAGCACAGCCCTGCCCTTCCAGCCTGCGCTCCACCCCCTGCCCACATAAACCTGGAATAAATGCCTCAATTTTGCACACAGGAAGAACACATGTTCCATATCTTCAGTGGGTGGTGACTTTCGCTTCACCTGGTAACTGGGTACCAATTTTTTCTTCCCTAACAGATCTGGAGGTTTACTGTTGACAGCTGAGGGACGGTTTGGAGACTAGAGCTCCATACCAACTCCTCACCCAATAGCAAACTCTAAGAACTTAGTGCTTTTGGGGTAGGGCCCTAATGTGTGTGTAGGTAGGGGTATTCCTGGCCTACAGGTGGGGTGACTGGGACTCTTGGTCTGCGCTCCCCTGTCCCAGCCTGTGATGGTGGGCAACTGAGTCCTTGCGCATCCAACTTTGTTACCTCATCAGCACATCGAGGGAATTGAACACACAAAATCATCGAGGTCCCTTTTAGTTCTGCAGCATTCTGACCAAGCATCCCCTGGTCCATGAGTTTGTTAAATTTATTAAGAACCATATTAGCTGGGTTTGTAAATACCGACTAATGGGCCCCTTCATCTTAGGCTAAGAGAAGAGCTTAGTCTCCTGCCCTTTGGGATTTGTTTTCTGGGTAATTGATGGAGACCAGATGTATTTGGGAGACCTGGTGTCCAAATTAGAATCATGCCCTGTGTAGGCTCACTCTATCCTCCCTTACAGCAGGCTGTCACCCGGAGGGCTCAGGCAATGCGGACATTTTTTGCATGGCGTTAAGATTATTTAAAGAATTTTAAGCTGTTGCTATTTGCAGTCAAATGTAGTAAAAGTTCCCTTTGATTTGATTACTTCATGAATTCATATACGATACACAGGTCTCTCTCTCTCTCTCTCTCTCTCACACACACACACACACACACACACACTGGAAATGGCTGCCTTGGGTTCTATGGGGGACCGTTCCATGTTGAAAGTCCTAATTGCACTAGACATTAGCAAACCACCTCCTTCCTCCCTCTGAGAGGAGGACTTCCTGGCTGAGTCAATGCCGCTCATCTATTTGTATGCTTGGTTTTGGGGATTAGTGAGAATGTAGCCAGAATTTGGGTGAGGCAGATTTATACTCATTGGATTGGGTAAGAATGGAGACCATCCAATGTATACCATGGTTTCTGAACCATAGGAAAGGCATAAGAAAATAAAACAAACGTGCAGAGACTCTCTAAAAAAAATGAGGAAGAAACCAGTATTGCATTTCTTGTCTTTGCTTTCCATATCCCGCTGATGTTTCAAGTGGAGGTTATTTCTGTGATGATGCACCTATGTGCAAAGACAGTGGCTGTGTCAGCAGAGAGAACTTTCATCAGTATAGTTAGTGTAAGAGCTAGTTAGCAATGGTCTTAAAAAATAAAAATGGGGACTCTCTGAAACAAAGGTGACTTTAATTTGGCATTGTCGATGCTGTATTCTGCATATGGAAACTTTGGGATAGCATGTTGCGGACATGGCTTATAAACAAAGCCCTGCACTCTGTCTTTGCGCGATAAACCACCTGTGTTTTTCTTCACCAACTTGCCCGCAGTCCATGTAAACTTCAGTCCTCCTGTGGCAGTCCCTAGGTCACATGACATCAGCGCAGTGGCATTGAGGAGAAATAAGAAGTGTCTCTGATTTTACTGAAAGTGATTATCATTTTCACAGGTGCCTAAGATTTGAAATCTACCTTCTGTTCTTGGTTCTTAAGTGAAAAATCTCTCATAGTTCCCTGTGCATTAGAAGAAAAAGCCCTTGAGAGGACTCTGCTCCATCAAAACAGCAGACCTGTGCTGCAGAGGGCAACTGGAAAACCTCTCCTTTGCCATCAGGGTGCCGAGCTTGAAGGGGGAAGGTGCAGTGGTACCTAGAAGCGATATGCAAACTAACCCACATACCAGCCTCCAGCCTCTCCCGTCCCAGACTCACAGGCAGGGGACCCAGTGATGATGAAAACCCTTGTGTGGAGGTGTTTTACCTACTTTTCTCTCTGTAGGATTTCATGGTGCTTTAAAAAAAAAAAAAGGCATTTTGCTGAAAATGCGGGGTGGGGGGAGGAGGGAATTTCGTAATGTTCTTAGGAAAAGTACAAAAGCAAATTTGCTTGTAACATTTCAATAAGCTGTGCTGCTATTGTCTTTGATGATGATGTAATTTTTTTTCCAATGATGCAGAAAATTGCAACAAAGACCTTCTGGAAGATCCAATCCAATGTCTCTCCTGTTTTCCTTTCTCTTGTGGGGCCAAGCACGGTTCACAGCGGCTGGGTCGGGAGCTACACTCAGGTCTTTTAGGGAATGGCTTCTTGCCTGGCCGAGCACCCGCTTACCTGCATGCATCAGGCCAGAGCCTATGGAAGGAAACTCACTGTCTTGCTGGAGGAGGAGACCACAGTTTGACGCAGATGATAAGCTCCTCAGGGCAGGAATTAGGTCTTTCATTTCCAGCGCTGAGCACTGTGCCTGATACAGAGACACTCAAAATTATTGGTGAAGTGATTTTAATGCCTTTATTGATAGCGCATTTGCATCCTTCAAGGCAGATTTAATTTTTTTCATGACTTAGAAGTCTTTTGGAGCCAAGACTCCTGAAATAAGCAATTTATACCACTCCTAAAGTATCATCTTGGTCAAAACCCAGTTTACCTACAAAGTAATGAGTTGGGTCTGTATTTTACAACGAACTCTAAAATTTACTGTGATGGTTGTTGAAATAACTAGACTCTAAAATGACTACTCTGAAGAATAGCTCTCATTTAGATGTATGCTGATGGAATATTTGTTTTAAGACCAATGTCATTACTACAGATACAGTTTTAATGTCTATGAATTTAGGAAATAAGGGATTATGCTTTGTGGGGATGTCAAACATATGGCAAATGGGTCACCACCCCTGACTCCGTGCCCAAGGCAGCTCTCTTTATCACAGAGTTACTTCCTTATCAACCCAGATACATTCTCAGAATCCACTTTAAGACTTTAGCCAAGGTTAGTAGTTTTCAAAATATGGTCCAGTGACCCTCGTAGGTCCTCAAGATTCTTTCATGGGATCATGAGGTCAGAACTGTTTCCAGAACAATACTATTACTCTCCATTTTAACACATTCCTTCAGGAGGGCATGCATTTAGAACTGAGTAGCATTAGTCACTCAGAGGACAGAGGCAAGGCAGTGTGATGCCTTTTGTTGACGGTTAAAGAGTTTTCCAAAATTCTTGTAAATGGACATATGTTTCTTAGAAAACCCAACGTACCCAGATATAATTGGAAAGGGCTTCCTGCTGTGCCTCATAGGAATAGATCTTAGAAACAGCCACAAAACAATATTTCTCTGGTCCTGCGCAGCTGCTTTGTGGGGATCCGACCCCTCAAATTCCTCTCCAGTTAGCCCTAAGAACCCTAGAGGCATCTCATGGTTACTCAATTTCTTGGCCACCATGCTGTAGTCAGTTTTCTAGAAATCTCTCTGCCCCTCTGGGACCGGAATTGATGGCCTTCCAATGATCCCCTTGTCCACCTTCCCTGTATCCAGAGCTCATGAAGGGACATCTTTTTTGCTCATTGTTTCCATGGGCCTGGCACAGTGCACAGAACGTGGTTGGATTTTATAAAAAAAAAAAAAAAAAAAAAAAAGACATTTTTTTGGTTGAATAGCAAACCCCAAACCATGGGTGTTGAGTAAAGGGCCTCTGTGGAGAGTAGGAACAGATGAAGAGAGCCCAAATCTGGGGTGAACTTAAGAGGAGCCTGGATGGATTCAAAAGAACAGGGTAGCTGTCCAGACAAATGGGAAATATCTTGGAAGATTTCTGGATACAGAACACTGACTCCAATGACAACTTTTACCTGGTCACGTCTATGACCAGAGTGGTATAAACACCACCAGAGTGGTATAAACAACCTTAACACAAAACTACTGTGGTTTTAAAATGCTAGGGTACACCTGTGA